ATATGGCCTTTTTCTCTTTTGATCTGAAAAGTCAAAAATTTTGATGAAAAAGGATCTCAATATTTTCAGTTTCTGCTGCCAGTGTGGCTTAAAATATTTTAAATTTCCCTTTAATTAATGGATTTTACAGCCTTTTTAATATGTGGCAGCTTTCCTTCTCAAATACTCTCTAAGGTATTGCTTCTTAACTAATTAATTAGTTTTTAAAATAGGAAGTGCATTTTAAAATAAAAAAGAAAAGCAAAATAACATAAAATCATCAGATAAGTTGAGGTGTTTACCCTAAAGATGCCTCCTTAAAGCAAAACAGATTTTTAACACAACTTATTCATCTGAGGAATGACATGTCTTTGTTGTAGTTTTCTATAATGATAGAGGCTGTTTTGAAGGGGAGGAGAGAATAATAAAAACACAGCCAAAGAGCTATCAGACCTGCTAATCCAAACTACAGCCTTGTTCTAATGCTGGAATAGCCAATTTATCCAGGCAGCACAACTGCCCCCTTCCACTACCAGTAATTCCCCTGGCTGTCTGTACAGCACTGGAGATAAGCATGGAGAGCAAGGGACCTTTCCAGGGGAAAAACAAGAATTAAGCAGGTAAGTAATTTTCAGTTTATGCTAAAATCTGTAATTTGGGTCATAGTTAACATAAAATTAGATTTATAAGTAGCTGCTTCAGGACATTTCTCAGTGCTTAACCAATACTCATCTAAAAAAGTTAATAAAAACAAAAAGACACTGAGTCTGAAACTCGTAAGAAGTTTTGCAGTGTCCCTTGACAAAGCCAGGCCTCCTAATGTCTACTTCTCTCTTCCACACTAAGGCGAAGCCAACACACCCTCAGCTGAGACTGGGCAGCTTGCAAATTGGATCATAATGAACATCCATACATGGAGAGTTTAGCAATAGCCATGTGATGGATGAAAAAATGCTTCTGATGCATTTTTAAAGGCTAACACTTCAGCAGTATTCTCAATTGCCTCCTACAAATAACTAGGACTTTTGGCAGCTACCCAGGGATCCCACAAGTATTTTGTGGTGGGGTAGAGCCCTCACTCCAGAGATTTTGCACTGCTTTGGGGCAAATGAAACAGTAAGCTTCATTTCCCGAGGGACTCTCCTCCTCCTTGAGCTTTATGTAAACACTACAAGATAGATGGAGCTGACAGAAAGCATTCAAGTCCAAGTACTGCAAAGCTGCTGCGCTCTGTACCGTAGTATGTGAAACAGAAAATGCCAAGCAGAAGAGACTGTACTTGTGGTGCCAGCTGCTGAGGATCAGCCCTGCTGCTGAAAGCCATGCCTGGATGGGACCAGAGCTGCTGGTAGGTCTCACACCATTCAGGGTGCAACTGCCCCCATAAAAATGACCTACACCAGCATTTCCGATCTGCTTGGGCAAATAATTCTGATCCTGCTGGTCATCATCCTTGCTGTGCCCCTGAGCTAATGGTAAAATGCTCCTATTCTTGATTTCCACTCTATGACTAATATGAGCCATTTGTTCAGTGCTGGAAAGTGATGAGTACACCATCTGCCACTTTATTATTATTTTAATTTTTACTGCTACTATTTTTTGAAAGATCACCAACAGTAAAAGTAGTATAAAAACACAGCAGGGCAGAAGGTTACTGGCACCTGATGTGACCATTAAATCACAAATAGCTTTGAGTCAAATCATTAATTCATAACACTTTCCCCAGTACACAGAATCACAGAATGGGTCAGGTTGGAAAGGAACACAGAGGATGATCTGCTCCAACCTCCCTGTTCAAGCAGGGTCATCCTTAGAGCACATTGCACACAATTGCATCCAGATGGTTCTTGAATATCTCCAAAGAGGGAGACTCCACAATCTCTCTGGCCAGTCTGTTCCAGTGCAGAGTCACACACAGACTAAAGAAGTTTGTCCTCATATTTAGGAGGAACTTCCTGTGCATCAGTTCCTGCCCGTTGCCTCTTCTCCTATTGCTTGGCACCACTGAGAAAGCCTGCCTCCATCTTCTTGGCACTGTCCTTTCACATACTTATAGGCATTTGTAAGGTCCACTGCTTTTCTCCAGGCTAAATAGGCCCGTATCCTCAGTCTTTCCTCGTAACTGAGGTGGTGTTGGTAGCCTTCAGGTCGATTAAAGAAGACATGTTTATTAACAAACCCTATGCTCATATTCTCTACAATGTGTGACATACATATTTCACCTTCATGCATTCTCACTCTCCCCCACGCATTTGGGCCAGAGTCGTATATTGTGAGGAAAACCAGTGTATGAAAAATGGAAGAAGTAATTTTTGCATGAGATAAGGGATCCTAATTATTCTGCTGATGGACTGCTGGAACTAGTTGGAGTTTCAGCATAGGGATCAAATTCCTCACTTCCTGCACTCTGCTATCCTGAGGCATAACCTCCAGAAGTTCCTAAGAGGAAAGACTTACAAGAGTCACAGGGTAAAATTTATAACCCCCCTATGGCTGAGTGTCATAGGTCTCAGTGCGGGATGCAAGGAAGCACCTAACCAGCAACTGTGAATAGCCCAGAGCCTCTGAGGAAATTAGGTGCTTAAGTTATAAGTTATCACTTTCATGAGATACTGGGGCTTCTCAGTGATGATGAGGTTGCAAGGGTGTCTTGGTTTTCATATTCGGTTTCAACTGATCTTACAGGTGAAAATAGCCTGAAAAAAATTAGTAACCCAGATATCTGGTTGTTGTTGGGTCCAAAGCTTCCGTGGCTTGAAGTCCACAAATTAGTAAGCTGTATAACAAAAACAGATTAGTGGGTATTTCATCAGATATTTGACAGGTCTCAGCAGATAATTCAACTCCTAAAAGGCTCTCTCACACTTCAGCTTCCTAGGCAGCTGTTAACGAGACTCATTGCTGGTTTCCTTACCTGTAGAAAATCTAAGAAATTATAACAGCATCTGAAGGTCAGAACTCACAATAAGTGAGGCTGCCTGTACTAATTTTATTTCAACTCTTCCAAAAATAATGCAGTTCTGAGAAGGGACTATATCTAAACTCTGATGGCCATCCCTGTAAATCAGGAACTGACACCATTACCTCAGTCATACCACTCCACTTCCTCAGTTATCTACCGAAATATATGAACATGCCATTGCTGGTCACAGAAGCTGCAGAAGATGTTTAGGTTTGCTGCAAGGAGAGAAGGAGTGGCGTTTTTCTTTAAACAGAGTCTGAAACTGATTAGGGCAGGGGTAGTCTGACTGTGAGTGTCCAGCCAGCAAGGCACCACTGAGGCCATTCTCTCTTCTGTCTGGACTTGTAAAAAAAGGTGTTCTTTCAGGTCACACAAGCTAGCATGGGATTTGAAATATCCCATCACACTTTCACAAAACACAAATGAAACAAATTGGAAACTGCAAGTGTCAATATACCGTATCAATGATCATAATAATAAAAGAATAAAAAGGTAAACACCATATTTGTTTCCAAAAATCACATTTTGATTTTTGTTTATACATGTCACCATCTGCCTTTTTAACACCAAGCTCTCATTTCATACCCCTTTTTACATCTCAGGGCTACCTAGACCCTCCAGACATCTAGAATTCAAATTACTTAATATAGGTACAGAGGGCCTAGCATATCTGGAGAGATTTTTAAATTTCAAATGGTTTTACTAAAAGCTATACCTATAATGCAATGAATATTGCATAGCATCACAAAGCTATATTATAAAGTACAAAGCAAACCATGTTAATTTCCTCACAGCATAACCCTCATTTTAGTCTACTAAATTTGGGTTTAATCCATGTTCCCTTACTGAGTAGCCCTTTACAGAGCGATCCACTATCTTTGCTAAAGACAAGCACCAAGGACTGCTTTGTTGTACTCCATTCTTGCAGTTGCCCATGATACATAAAAATTAGGTGCCAGGATTTTAAGTTCGCCTCTTTTGCTTAGCTCACAGAAAGACCTCATCCATGCTAAGGAGGCTGTTCTTTATTCTGCAGTGAGCTCCAAGCTGTTTGAACACAATGAATGCCAAGCTTTCAGAGAAAGGAAAACACAAACACTTTGGCAAATGTAAGGTGGCAAAATCTTTTTTAGCTGGACTGACGCTTGCTTGCAAACACACAATGTGCATTCCTTTGAAAATACGTCTTTAACAGTGCCTGCTTTGCATACTAAGTGGACTACATCTGCCTTTATAGCGTCATGCTCCTATTTTCTGCCTTTTTTTCACAGCTCAGGGGTACCTAGCTTCTTTAAACACATGGCCTAAAAATACTTATGTAACATACTTAGGTGTAGAGGGCTTTAAAATAACTGGAGAACTTTTTCTACTTAGTTACATATTTAAAGTTAAAAAGTAAACTATGGATTACCAATGAGCCCAACATCACAAGCACAGCAGCATTCAGCAGAATATAGGACAGTAGTAGAGGGTTTACTGGGTCACTATGGACTTGATGATAAATCGGGCTATGACAGTCTTGGAGCCTGCAGCCTGCTGCATCACTGCTCTGCTGCTAGAACTACTGTCCGCGCTACTTTAATCCACTGTCCTTAAAGGAATCGCTAAAGTCACTTTTAAGATACCATTTGATCCAGCAAGGTGCAGAACTAAAGCCACACACACACACACTAACATCACAGTGCCGATGCTCCTCAGTGAAGGACACAGCACAGAGCTCACAGTCAAGGCAAAAGATGGCTCAGGTGACTTTTTACGTTGTTGGTGCTCTGCTCTGTGTTGGATCTGACAAAAGCTGAAGATGACCCTAAATTATAGCTTCCTGAAATTTTGGCAGTGAATGTTATGTTGTCACTGCACACATTACATCTCTTTTCCTGCTTTCCTTACATCTCTCTCTTCTGCTTACTAGATGTGACATCTCTTCTAGACAGTTAACCAAGCAGAAACACTTTTGAGTATCCACTGTGATACAATTTTTAAATTAGGCCAATTGCAGAACTTTTTTGCCAACGAGTCCTGCCTCATTCAACCCATAGATAAGCTATCAATTACATTATATAGTAAACAATATGCTTTATTATATTTGTTTTTTTATACATGAAGATGATTCTTACATCATTACCGATTTATTCATCATCGCTACCAATTAGAACCATAGATATGAACCAGAAGATTTTCTGAAAATCTAGACTGAAAAGACAACATCTCTTCACTCTAAGCTAACTCAAAGGCTAAAGCCAGTGAACAGACAGATGCAGAGATGAGAAACAAGTAACCAAGACTGTCTGCCCTGTAGACCAAAGGGGCAGTATGGAAAACTGAGGCAGGGCTCTGCCAAAAACAGCTGGACTCAAAACAATGCATTTCTGTATTGACCTGTGTGCTTCCTGGCCAATTTTGCATATCTTAATCCAGCCCTATATCACTATAACCATTTGTCTGACTCTAACAACATACTATAAGAAAAACTGGTAACTTGGGGATTGGAAAATGGAGACTGAATTCAGTGTAGGGTTTCACCTGATAAGTGAATAAATATGGAATATTGAGGAAAAAAAAGCTCTTTTCTCCATGAACATCACCCTTCCCAGCCAATGAAGGCTTCATCTCTGAAAGTGCAATGTACCCAGGCTCTGCTCCACTTGCCCTTGATTTCAAATACCAGAATGGTCACATTAGGATTACTCATATCCTTAGCACAAAGCTGTGGACATAGACCTCAGAAACCCCATTTTCTTTAGTATTGGGCAAGTATACTAGCAGGGTATCATTTCCTGATTTCTTTAATTCTTCAGTTTGAAAGCTACCTGAATGTATATATTTTAAATGAAATTATGGGTTCCAGGCAACTAATGGGAAGGCCACCCAAAGGAGGGTGTGGTGGTACAAGGCACTCACAAACGTGGACACCACAGGTGGTTGGCAGATGGACAGCCCAGTGAAAAATGTTGGCAGTGGAAAGGGTGGGCTGTGCAGATCATCTGAACTTGGCTGGAGGGGTACTTCTCCAACACTTTAAAGCTTAGTAATGACAACTGCAGTGGTGAGTACATGGGCTGGGTCATGAAAAATTACCTTTTTAGACTGATCTGTCACTTTCATAATACGAGTGAAGTATGATTACAGAAAATAAGTAAAAGAGCTTTGGGAAGAAACTATATTCTAGCAAGGATAAATAAGGCCTTGTCTTCTAGCTGGAATGATATTTTGCCTGAAGTATTTCTTTTGCATGTATTGTTGGCAACTTCATTGCCATTCCAGCAAGTTTTTTTCATTTTCTTCTGTAGTCAGCACAGTGAAGGTGGAAAGGTGGAAATCATAAAACATGGTGCCAAACCCCTAAAAGGTGACTTTGAATCAATATATGATCTCTGCAGCTCAGTCACTGGTTGAGATTTGTAGCTGTGCAGATTAGTCTTACTAGATGATACAGGTTTATTGAAAAGAAAAAATTAATTTGAAATGAATTCAACTATCATGAAAAAAACAAACAGGGGAGTAGCAAGCTTCTTTTACACTTCATAGAAGAAAAATGTTTTGATAAAAAAATAATAAACAGAGCTCATCTTGGATCTTGGTAGGAATATCTGCAAAGTCAAACATGTAACGGTAAAAATTACATCATCTACAATCTTTATACCAACTGCTTTTCTTCAAACAACAGTAACACAGAAATGCTATTTTGAGCAGAACTAGTCATTGTATTTGTTTTCAATGAGATATACAATCTAGAATGACTCCAGCAGCTAGCTGGGCATGAAATTTATTAAATTCTGTACCAGTTACATCAGCCCTAGTAACTCACTGCCTGTTCTTGCTGCTTCACAGTATTTAAGTCTAGCTTGAGATAATATTCTGAAAATCTTGACAGGAATTAACAGCATTGCTACTCAAACTTAGATACAAAGCAGACAATCAACATCCATGGAGCATGCCCAACCTCAGGTGGATACTACATGTTTCTGAGCCCAAGGCACTGATCTGAAAAACTTCAACACTCAGGCATGACATAAGACATCCCCTTCTCTTCCATAACAAGTCTGTCTGTCTTGCACCATGTGCAACATGGAAAAAAAAAAAAAAAGCATTGAAAATGCAGATTTGAAGACATCAACTATTCTTTCTTACCTCTATTCCTTCCTTGTTTAAGGCATATTCGTCAAAGTTCAAAATAGCAGTCTTGATAGTGCGAGGAGGGGGTAACACAGTCAAGCCAATATTAATCGCATTGCTTCGTTTTGAGTCCAATACAATTATCTCCTGTCGCTTCCCATCTGCAGCAGTTTTCTTGGTAAAGAAGAGAACAAGAGCGTTATTCCTCTGATCTGTTCTATAAAGTTAAAGTTGCTCCTCTCACTAATGACTTCCCTTACTCAAGGAAGCTGACACTGAATGTAAAGCTAATTGATTTGTAGTCACCAAAAGAAGCTAAATTCTTCTACCACATCCTTGCTGGTATCAACGTGAGCTGCCAGGATTCAACCAGAGATCTGAATGCTGCTATTCAATGCAGACCTAGCCTAAGACACTGGAGTCCCCACAACGGCAGTTTGGGGCAGGAGCCGGTCTGAAAAACACCTAAAGTTGTCTCTGCCAGTCGAGAGCTCTGCTGTGCAGCAGGACTGGCCAGCACAGGGCTGGTGGGGCAGCCAGTGGGCTCCAGGGCTCAATTCCCTGCTGGATGCATCAACCCGGACTGGCTGCTGTCCCTCTCTCATGTTGGGGTTGGCTGGGAGACAGACAGGATAGTTCTTACCTGCCTGACAACACTCTCCTGTGTTATAAATCCACCTCAGGCACTGGCAAAGTAGTCATAGGGGCCCTTCCTGGAGGCACTGGCATAGTTTTCTGACCTCTGGCTGCCAGGGGAAAGTTATTCTACCTTGCTGCTCATGATATGCCTGACAAGTCCTTCACAGGTGCAGGACAATTTCAACCCTTCCAGTTTTTCTTAAGTTTTAAATGGAACTAAACATATCTTTGGATCTCACACTCTCCAGTATAAATAACAATGAAATGACAAAGAACTAACAACAAATGCTTTAAATTCCATTCTAGAGTAGACCCAAGGAATTTCTTCCTCTTTCTCCCCATCCTTACATTGGCAAAATGCGAACCAACTATGCAAGGTGACTTACCAGCCATTTATATATGGCATAATGTAGCGTTGAATGTGGTCTTTGCTTTTACATCTCAGCATGCCTCTCTTTCTCTCATTATCCCATGCTAGAAGGTGTCTCTTTGGTAACTATGTATGTTGTATATCAGGCAGCTGAAAGATGAGAGGACTGTGCTCCTCATATTCAGGGATTTTTTCCTCCCTCTCCATATATGTAAACTTTGTAAACATGTTTTCTCTGGTTCTTCCTCCCTCACCCTATCAGAGATGGGCTGAGGAATGCTGTCAAGCAGAGGAATGTAGGGAGAAGTCCTGCACACTGATGCAAGCAAGTGCAGAGATGCTTTGCTATATATAAACCTGCAGTGCAGGCTGCAGAGATGTGACTGGGACTTCCCTGCAGACACTGTTACCTAGCTGTGGTTTGTATTTCCAGCAGCAGCAAACACAGATGCAATCTCAGTGGGGCAGAGATTAAGCAATTCCTCTTTCCAGGCTGCATTATGGCAGCCCATACAACTGTTCAGAACAGGGAACCATCCATGCATTTGGGGAAAGCCCAGGAGGAGACTCTTACTGCTCAGGATTGTTTTTTAGACCATGAAGCTTTGTTCTTACTTTCTTTGAGTCTGCACCACAGCCACTGAGACAAGAAACACCCTACTGCTAGGCCTTTGTGCTGTTTCTGAACTGAAAGAACTAAGCTAGTAAATGATTTCATCAAAGTACCTCCAGCTGTGGGTCAGCCCATAATGGGGAATGCAGCTGTATCATTACAAAGATACCTTTTTATGGCACAGCTCAGTTCCTTGCTTGCACAGGGAGAGGTTTGCCCACCAGTCCCTGCTTAGCACCTGTGTGGCACCACAGACCTTTCCTCATACCAGAACAATTAACATGGTATGATGCAACTTCTGTGAGCAGATGGGACTGAAAGCAACTGCAATTTACAAGAGTCATGGACTACCACATGCGTATGATCTGTGAAAGTAATAAGAGAGTTTGTTTTTTTTTTAAAACCTAAGAAGAAACAACAATTTTGCAGTAAAAAGGATAAATTTTGGAGAGCAGAGATAACATTTGCTTTTAATGTTTCTACGTCAGTTCTGTCAGAACTGCTCTCTTCTTGACATCTTAGAAGTATCTCTGATGCCTTCCTGAACTTTTCTTTCTTTGAGTAAGAGACTCCTCTTTTTCTTTTGGAGTTACCTGAAGGATGTGAAATGCAGTTTCTCCTTTAAATCAGTAGTTTTGTTTCTTCTTGAGCCATTAATAACATTTTCAGGACCACAGTTAGTGGCCAAGACCACATTAAAAACAAACAGGGTACACCAGAGACTGCTTCCTCTTGAGTTTGTATTGCACTAAGCCTTTTTTAAACCACCAATTTTTACCTTGTCCTTTGCTCCACAGAATTACACAGCTCCAAAGAATTTACGCAGAAGGGAAAAGGCCTGGGGAAAGGAGTTAAATTTAGGTTTCCCACAAGTGGTATGGGTAAGTAAGCCTCAAATCTGCAGCTCAGTTTTTAGGCTCCAAAGTTTGACAATCGAGACATATTCATTTGGGGGATATACGACTGACCACTGGGATGATGGCGACTGCAACAGTGCGCTTGGTCCTTAGCAAAGGTTTATGACAGACAGATGAGCTGGACAGGGGATGTATGCACGTAGGTATTTTCCAGAGCTATAACTGCACATGGGATATAAAATTTTGGGGTAAGTAACCCTTTTCAAAAACCGGGGCAGAAGAGATTTTAAACCCATTCTAGGGACAACGGCTGAGTTCCAAAGAAATCCTTTCCAAATAAATAAAAGATTGAAGAAAAGAGAAAGATTTTACTACTATGAAATTTACTACCTGACCACTAGGAAAAGAATTTCTTTTTGTCTGCAATGAAATTGCACGTGTGTAAGTGTCTGACTGTTAAAATAAGCTACAAGTATTAATTTTTATGACAGTAATAGGTGACCTCAATCTGTGCTATAAATTCATTAACAAAGAATGACTTCAAATGCTTGAGGGAACAGTGAACTAATGCACTTAATATTTTAATGTGTCAGTATAAAACATAACCCCTAACTTCTGAATACTGTATTATTCAATGCAAATGCAAAAAAAATTATAAAATACAAATCAGGTGATATAATTTGTGGGAAACAAACATTTTTGCAATGTATTAACAATTACAGTCAATTTAGACATTTACAAGACCTAACTGGTCAGACTCTCTTGCTTCTGTTGAAGATTGGGCAGTTCAGATAGATTTAAAAACTGTTACCATCCCACAGAAGGTGATCTGCAGTCTGATGAGCACATAGTCTAAAATATGCCTCTTTACTGTAATTAATATAGGAAGCAGAAAAATTTAAATAACTTCTCAAGTGGTAATACAAGTAAATGATCATATATGAGCATCAAGTCAGAAATATATCCTGCCTTTAAACTTGAGAAGTCTGCATTAGTAGTACAGAAAATTTCAGTGATCAATACTAGTGAGATGGCATTTTTTTTTTTTTTAAATTATTTCTATCTCAATTAGTAAGGACTTAGTTCTGGAGATATTACATGGAATTGCTCAGCTGACTGACTTTTTCCAGGATGCATGCACGTAATCTTTTTCAGAAATTTCTGGTCCATGTTTATGACTTGTCTTGGCATTCATTCAAATTGCAACAAATCCTTTCAAAAGGAATATGTGTCTAAGCATGTGTATACATGTGTACATGAAAACAGATTCCTTAATTTTTTCCCCCCTACAAGTTTTTTTGTCTGTGGCACATGATGCACTATTATATGCCACAGGATATACATGAATCAGCAAAATAATACTTTAATGCAGAACCAAGTGTATGGCAGAAGGGCTGAATAACACCTGGGCAGAAGTGTGAAACAACAAACATCTGATTCAGGTGTGTCTGCATGTTTTAATTTGTATCCACAGAAGAGTAAACACTTTGAAGTACTTTGCCAAAATATCTGTGTGGTTGGTGGAGTGAGAAGAAAGGAAATACTAGACAGGCTTGGAGGGGCTAGCTGATCACTTGCTTTCTATTCACAAATATAATGTCATGGTCCTTTGTTCTAGAAAATAAACATTCTGCAACTAAAGGTGGTCCACTAACTATAATCAATGTGCAAGTTGCCCAGTGTGGCATAACTTTTCCTAAAAGCAAGAATCTCTCCTCCCAGCCCCAACCCCCCAAATCCTGTATTATATCCTACAATTTAAAATCCACTTTATTTTATTACAGTCTGTTGTGTTTAATGAAAAACTTCTCATGAGCCAGGAAGTAGCTGTTTATAGCTGTGTGTTGTGGAAATCACAGTGAAGGATTAGAAACTGGAGTAAAATTGGTTACAGCTGTATGAAAGAGCATATGCTCAAGAAAGAGCCAAGCCCCCCCTTACACACCCTGACTTTGCCTTTCTTCTCATCCTTCTGGACTGTTCCTGTTCCATGCACCTACTTCCATCTCGTGCTATGAAATCTGGAGATCTGACTTTTGATTTGTTGCTCTGAACTCTTTTTTTCAGCTGAACCAACTGAGCTGTGAGTCAGACTTTACGATATTATAGAATAAACCTGTTTTGGATTGCAGCCATTGGACAGGAGAAACTAGACACAACGGGGAATGTAATCCCTGGAAATAAACCAAGAAGTCTGGAAAAAGCGAGAGCTATCCTAATTTGAGTGAAATCTTTGTACCAAACCTCAAGTCTTTTATGGATTCAGAGGTCTGCTTAATTATTTCTACTCTCATTTGATCTGAGGACCATCTCCTAGTCTGTAAGACTTTCTGGTGTTCACCAAAACCAGGCAGAAGTTCCAGAAGTGTATTTAGACTTCTACTACAGAAATCCTTGGTCCCCACTGTCTTCTCTACAGAGACAATGAGAGTTCTATGTCTGTGTTATGGGACAGGGTGGAAAGAGTGCCAAAAGTACAATGTCTCATGCAGAGAGCAGTTATTAGTCTCCAAGAGGAAAGCAGTCACCTAAATCATTCCTCAGACTTGCACTAATTTCAAAGAAACCTGCTCACTCATCTTCCAGCCAGGAGCCAAAAGCTCTGCCAAAGCATCAGGCAGGTTTGGGAAGCAAGTGTGAGGGAGGGAAAATAGCCAAGGGTAGTTTGGGAACGTGCACAATGAGTGACTGGAAAAGTAAACAAGTCATAATTCCAACAATTTGATATTTTATCAAAATTTTGTGTGAGAATAAAAGATTAAGAATCAGCCAGAGCAATCCATTACAATACTGGCATTTAGCACAAAGCTAAATTTTGGAAATGGCAAATATGTCATCATTCCACATTCAATTCAAGGAATTAAATGTTTTATGGATCTAAGAAAATGCTCTCATTCCTTCCATCTATAAACCATCTGTGGCAGATTTGTATTTACGGGGAGAGAGATGAGGAGCAGCATGCCATGACGTCACCAGCATTCCTTCCTCAGTAGAAAGGGAATTAAGAGAGAGAAATTAATCTCAGCATTGGCCAAATGGACAATCAGCTGAATGTGGTTTTAAGGCTGCTACACCATACATTTCAGATCTACATGTATCTGCGTCACAAAAAAAATCAGCTAAGAACAGTGATGGCAGGATCTACACGAGCCATCTCTTTCTGTACCTGTTGTTTGCTAGCTACTTAGGGGCTTGATTGTTGAAATTGCAATGTTTCTACGTGGTCAAGAAGATCAAGAATGAGTATAAAAAAAAATTTGAGTTAATAACACAGACAAGTGACCTGAGAACTTCTATATCCAGATATATCCAGACTCTCCAGATTACGAGTAAACAATAATATCTATGACATGTAACAGATACAACAACTTTCTCTAGCTAAAGAGAAGTAAAATATTCAAGGTGCTGTTTTTTTATGTCACTCTAAAATATATAGGCGCACAGAGAAAACACACAGGCGATTTATTTATTTTAGGAGAGATGAACATGTTTTACTAGCATTTTAACCAGGAAAAGGCATTGTTTCCCTGATACCGATTATTCTACTTAGAAGAAAAAGACTTTATGTAGCCATGAAAAACAAATGTTCAAGCTAATAACTTTTTTAATGCTACTTCAAATTCCTACCAAATGTAACTATAAAAAGCTTCCTTTTGTTGTTGATTCTAATGTTGAACAGCCATGTCACCAGCCTTTGTGAATTTATTTTATAACAATACTGAGGAAGAGGGAATCCTAGCTACAGAGGTATTTCCTGTGCCAGCTTCTATCCTAAAATTTCCACATTGCATAAATTAAGGATTTAAAATAGGCCCGTTACCAGTATAAAACAAAAACCAAAAAACCCTGCAGAGTTTAGCTGTAAATGTGGTCCAGCTGATAATTCAATCCTTCAGAACAGAGCACACGTGTAGACTCTACGCAGCAGATCCAGTTTGATATTCTAACCTTTCCACATAATGATTAGGAAAATATTACCAAGTGAAGAACTGTCAAATACACAGTTATGAGTCACCATGCTGTGACCTTCATATGAATGCAACAGAAAACATTTCAGAGTCCAATACCTAGTCTGGCACTCAGCTACGGACAAGCTAATGTAAAATTTGTTGGTATTTGCCACTGAAATGATGTCCCACAACTGGTAGACCTGAAAGAGGAGGGCAGCTTGGCACATACACCACCCTAGGCTCATGTCCTAGCATCAGGCCATGGAATATCTTCTGTCATAGGCCAACCTAGAAACACATCCAGTAATTTCCACTGTTTTTATATAAACAACATAAATCATCTAGATCTAAGTCAGAATGAATACCAATACAATAGCAGAATAATAGCAAACTGAATACAAGCTGTACCTTTGTGACAGGCAGTTCCTTGGATTTAGACTCAAAGAGATGCTCCAGTTTGGAAGTGTCCACCTTAATGGGTTCCAGTTTCGACCACAGGAATTCTCTGCAGCGTTTGTTGTTTTTACACTGCCACTCAAATGGCCGTACCTCATTCCAAAACAGACGGATGGTTTTCTTCTTCTTTATAAATGCTGGCTGACCCCTAGAAACCTGGGGTGACCCTAAACCCTGAGGAGTGCTGAAGAGTGGAGGAGGAGCCAATAAATTAGCAGAGGGTGGAGGTGGAGGCGGACATCCAAACAACGGGGGAGGTGGTGGAGGAGGCAAACCCAGAAAAGAAGGTGGCGGTGGAGGAGGGGGAACAAGGGAGTCCCCAGGACCCATATCCATGTCCAACACATCTACATCATCCTCCTCCCCCAAGTCTGTAAAATCCATGTCTTTGATTTTAAGTTCTCTAGGATTAGCCATGAGCTGATCCCAGATGTAATCAGATTCCTTCTTTGGCTGTGCTGGTGTTTTCTCGGGGACCTGTTCACTGTTTTCATCTTCAGGCCCAGCTGTCCCCTTAGCCAGCTCACCACTGTTGAATTTTTCCGCAAAGGCTTTCACACTGCCTTGGTTGTCCAGATTTCCAATCTCTATCTTTTTGACACTTTCATCTTTGGCCTGCTTGGTGGCCTGAAGAATAGAGATCCTACTGGCTAGGCTAGTAAGTGACTCCTCATTTTCCTCCGTCTCCTTCTTTTCCTCCTTCGCCTCCAGCTCCTTCTCCTCTTCATCCTTGGGCTTTTTGTTATGCGCATACAGCATGTCCAACATAAACCGCTTGTTGTTGAGGATGTTGCTGCACTGCTCATTCACACCAGCATCCTGAATGGTCTGTGACCATGGACCTGCAATCACACACACAGAGATGGGAAGAGTCAAGGGAAAGCAGTCAGAGCACCAAGAACACTCTTCAACCCACCAAAAAAAAAAAAAAATACATTTGGAGGACACATGTACAATTAGTCTGAAACTGGGTAGGAAGTTACTGTGAAAATTTTGAAATAAGTGACAGTGCTGACATATGGCTTGATCTTGAGGGGTTGGAAGTAATTCTCAAAAAAGGAATGGGAGTAGAGAATAATGTGTAGCTCGTGAGGGACTATATAACTCTCAGGATTTGAATGTTCAGATTTCCCTTGAAATCTGTCAGGTTTCACTTTGTACTTAATACCCCAGCTCATTTTACACAATGCATAAATTCTCATAACCTTTAGTATTCTAGAATGGGGCTTAAATATTATAACACTGATACAAAATAGGTTATCATCATACTCTTCACCTGGCCATAAACTGGAACCACCCCAAGAAAATTTCCAGATGAAAGAGATCTTCCCTGCCTGACGTCAAGGTCGACCTGTAGCTGCTTATTTCTCCTTCCACCCTGCTGGCTAGGGTAGGACAGCTTTCAGACCTAGCTGGTCCTCAGACCCCCTGGCTGGGTACCTGGGCCACCTTTACAACACAGAATATTGGAATTCCAAAGGAGTCTGCATACCCAGGGTATAGCTCTCAGGCTAACTCAGAGAGTATAAGCATGAAAAGGATTTTTGAAGTTGTTTATAACATAAGAACCTTCATAGAATATTTTCAAATCAGCCACTGGTACCCTTCTGTTATAGAATGCTGTTGAAAGACTAATGGCCTTCAAACATCACAATCATTTAACATGTCACTATAATAAAGCTTCATCTTTCTGACTACAGCTTTTCCCACCAATAATATGCAAAATACCATGTTTGAGACAGCACCATAAATAACAAATTATAGTGGTCAAACTGTAAAAATATATGATGTAAGTGTCTCTGTGACTACATTTCCCTGAATATAATACTGGTAACCAATATGGATAATGTGTCTAAAAATTATGGTACTTCATTTTCCAGTGAGCATCAGTTGAAGTGATTAAGCATGAACAAAAATAATTCCTCACACTTACTGTATTTCTTGTATGGAATTCCTTCGGTGCCCCATAGTCTTTACACATTTTATTAATACATTTTTCATAAACACTGTTTCTTTAATTTCTATCATTTTGGTTTGATTGCTAGCCTGCCTTCCTCTCGGGTCCTTGCGGTTAAAGATTTTCCTTTATACCTGTCAGTTACTCTTTTTCTTAAGCTTCCATTATATCTTTGTTTCTCCACGTATGCTCCCACCTTTTTAAATACTTTAGTATTTTAAACATCTTTTACAGCTTCTTTTGTCAACGGAGTGGCTTTTTTACCACAGCATCTAGTCCTGTGCTCTGAGAAGGTCACCTCTTGGTAAGATCTACATCCAGGGATCCACAACTTCCCCCTCCCCCCACTGCCCCCAACTCCCTTAAAATAACACCACTTAAAACTTAGGGCCTCACAGTAAAAAGCATATGGACAGTAATGACTCTCACATCTATTCAGATCACCCTCTAAACCATGTTTTAAAATGAGTTCAGAGGTTTAACCCCAGGTAAAAGAAAGAGTTCTTTTCAAAAATGGATACAACCTACTTTCCTGCAGGTGGGTGGAATGATTCCATTACCTGCTCATTTTTCTTCAGACTTTATCCGCGGGATTGCTTTCTTGCTTGCCACCTGAGGTAATTTCTTAGATTGGTCTCTGAGGTAGTTTGACTTGACAACATGACTAGACAACTCCTTCCCCACACTATAGTTTTTACTCAGCTGTCCCCTCACAAGCAATTTCCCCCTACTCCTAGCTTTTCTTTCAAAGATGTTCATGATTGCTCCCAAGAGCCTTTCTACAAATCCCACATCACCAGATGGGAATCCTCCAAGATTTAATCTCTTTGCAAAACTGCTCATCAAAATTCCCCCAGACACAATCTCTAATTTGGTTCCCCAAGTCCAGCTCCATCTGTCCTAGCTGATCAATGTTCATTGCTGTGAAGACTCTTGCTGCCTTGGTGGCCTCTTCTGCCCTCCTCTCCACAGGTAAAACTCTGAAATACCATTGGATGAACAAGCCTGTTGGAAGCCAAATTCGGCAGGATGGCAAATGAAGGAGGAGCCCGCACCAAGGGCTTTATTCCTTCATCCTTAATGCATCTGTGCCTCATAAATGGCAAACTGCTTGTTGGGAATGTCAGAACTGCTGGAGAAAGTGTTCTTGTTTGTTTTCCAAGTCTCTTGGCCTACTAGAGAGCAAACAATTCACTACATGAGACCTCCTGCATAGCACTACAGAATAAATCTTTGGTCTACAGGTAATGTAGGGCAATTTTAAGATCTTGAATTTTGAATAACAGAGTAAATTTCTTAGCATTTAACAAAAAGTACATAGGGACTTTAGTAACAGGTTGGTATCAGACAAAATGAGGAGAAAAAAACCCGCAATCTGTTCTCCCTTATTTGCACTTGGACTATCTTGGGCTACGTCAGAGTGTAACAACATCCTTCATCTCTCATATCTCCCCTGCCTTTCCTACAGATATACCCATCTGCATCTTTTATGAGCACAATTTACTAATTCTAAATTAGTATAATTAATTAACTTAATATTGGTCCTGATTGAAAAGAAATTAGGTCCTAAATTTAGGACAAAATTCACGAATGCTTCCCAGAAAAAAAAGTGACAGGTTTAAACATAACCAGTTCAATCTGACAGTTTATCCTCTGTGAGGTATGCCTTGTGATTCCTAGTTATCCCTCTTCTTGCAGGAAAGAGCAAGACTATTTCACATAATGAAGTGCATCTTGTTTTCTTATCTAGAACTTTGAGAACTTAGGACAAGGCACTCCATTGTTGAGTCTGAGGAAAACTTGGGAACCAAATGCCCTAATTACATTACATTCCTTTACCTCCCTATTAAAAAGGGAAAAGAAGGATCAAAAAAGTCAAAACCTGCCTTTTATTCCCTCCCTGCCTGGGCTCCATGACAAACTCTGGTTATCATTATCTCTTCAGGCAGAAAGTTGGTTCTTAAGGTGTTTTCCAGGCTGTGCATTTAGATGTATCTGATGGTGTATCTGACCAGAATCCCTCATCAGTACAGAACTAATCTTTTACAGACAATCTTTTACAAATAATCTTTTACGTGTCTCCTCCATATGAGCTAAAGATGGCAGCAGCCCAGACCTATCTTCAGCAGCTCCTGTGTATGTCTCTCAGCCATCTGAAGCTGAGCCTAACCATGACAGAAGAATTCAAGGAAAGGAGCAAACATCCCAGCCCTCACTGCTCTTCCTCTGCCACTAAAAGGAGAAGAAAAGGTATTTGGCATTTCAGAATAAATCATGTTAGCACAGCCCCTTGTTTCATTGATTTATGTGTAGAAAATCCAACTAAATTCTACAGGAGCCAGAGATGTAAGTTGCTGAAAAAGTGATTCAATTGTTAATATATTAATCTTAGGATAAGAAAACGGACTCGAATTTAGGGAAACTTAATTTCATCAAGGCCCTATTGTCCCTCAAACATAGAAACCCCAAGAAAGTCTGTGGATGTCCAAGCACAGAGTAGACAAGACTTGGCCAAGGTGAAGAAACTCTTATATAGGTGCAAAGGTTTATTAGGTAATTAATAAAAGATAAGAGCTGCTAATTTAACATTTTTTTTTCCACCAGAAACCCTTCATTATTGAAAAAGTTTCACTTTACCAGTTTCATTGTCACTGGTTAACTTGTCCTCTCTCTCTTCCCTCTCTAAAGTGCTGCTTGCTGAGGATATACTGGATGCAGAGCAGTTGTCTTTTTCATTCACTTCCTCATTCTGCCTCTCTTTTTCACTGAGTATTGCACTTTCTTCTGGCTCTCTCTCTGGTCCTTGCTCCACCTCACTCTCTGGTCCCACCTCTGTAGCCTCTATTTCCTTGGATGTCTCCGTTCCCTGCTGGGCCTCAGCCTTAGCCTCCTGCTCTGGTTCTGGTTCTGGTTCTGGTTCTGTCTCTGTCTCTGGTTCGGGTTCACTGGCACTCACTGGTGGAGAGAACAATGGGAGAAAGAGATTCACTTAACAACGGAGTCGTCTCAGGCTCAGCCCTCTGAGGGTGACATAGAAGTTGTACAAGCGCCTTATGGAAAGAAAATAAAAAGCAAGTCCACAGCATTGGGAACACCAGACTGATGAATGTTGTGCGATGACAGCATTGCACGTGAAAGTGGCCTGGCAAACTCCCTCATTTGCTGTCTGGAGCCAGCCCACTATTTTTATACATACTTCCACAGCTGCAGTGTTGGACTCACACAAGGATTTCAACAAACCAGTAGAAAATGGGCATCCCACCTGAGCACGAGATTGACAACTCAGTGCCTAGACAGAGCCAAAAAAGAAGAGATCTTTTGAAAAACAAAAAGGAGGTAGACTGTGGCTTTTGAATTTTCTGTGGGTTCTGGAAGAATTCTTTTTTCACCTGATGAGGAACACTTCAACGAAAAAAATATAAATATTAGTTTTTATAACACAGTTGAATGTCACAGTCTTGAAATGGAACTGTCACACATTTGGCTGACAAAAACCATATGTTTTTTCATGCACATTTACTTCAGAATAGCCACTTCAAAACTGCACAAAGTTTCCAGCTGCTAGGCATATGGCACAGATTCAGTTTCCAGTTGGTTGGCATATGGCACACGATGAGCTTTTTATCAGTTGGCACACAGCAAACACTGTTGATATTACATTTGGTTTCTTTTTTCCTGTGTTATCACTGACAGTGAAATTAATTCATTCACCTTTAGGGTTTTTAGCTTTAACAGCAGGTTTTCACATGCAAATATTCTCTGCGTGCTTCAAAGAAACTGAAGAGCATCCACACATATTCACATCAAGCAGCTCACAATTTTCTGAAAACTGAAATGGCCATGCAAAGAACAGCAAAAATGGGCATGCATGTTAGTTCTGCATACTTCCCAAATTCCCTACATACTAAATCTTGTGCTAGGTGGCTGAACTATAATGATCAAGTCATACTTGTTTTGTCCCTCTGTTAACTATTTTTCCTTATAATATTCCAAAGTCAAAATAACAAAGGTCACAATGCTTTCCTAAGGCTGCTTTATGCTGCATGACTATCCTATTTTCTGAGAAACTCACACAAAGAATAGTGATGTCTAACAATACTTGTGCCTATCTTTACAATAACCCATATGTTTTTAAACTAGCTTTCAGTAAGGCATCTTCAGTAACATGCTATTTCACCTAATTTCATATAATTTAAGGGAAAAAAACTGCAAATAATTTTTTTGTCACTGACTTCACTGGAGCTAAGCTTCTACACTTTCACAATTGATTTTTAATGTGTAGTTACTTAAATAACTGAACGTGCATATATAATACATTTATATAAAGGAAATGTACACATAATATATTTAATCTACAGTCCCTCATCACTGAAAGATGTTCTAAAACACTCCGAATTAGAAGCTTAACTTTCTCCCTCTTCTACACGGAGAGCATCTAACAGTCTAAAATTAGACATGCAAGCACTCCTGCATATGTCTTGTTTCTCTAAATGTATCTTACCTAGGACTGTACCCTGGTCACTGCTTAGGAGAGAATCAAAATTATAGCAGGCTGTCAAGAAGCTGGCAAACACTTCAAATCCCAGCAGTGTGTTTCTCACCACAGCTGTCAATGTGTAGGCACAGTACAAGAGCATTTTAAAGTAAAACCAAGATTTGAATATAACTGGAATAGAAGCTTAGGAATCCTTCAGGAGTTCCTGGAATTAATATGGTATGAGTAGCATGAAAGACTCTCAGCTTGCCATGCTGCAATCATACATACAAATGTCACCAATTAATCCATGAATAATCATAATTTTGTATAAATTTTATATGTTTCTCTCTAAAAACAAAGGCTGTCGTGCAATAACCATAAAGGTCAACTGCAGCAGCTCAGATGGAGAAAGAAGCTGAGTAAAATGTGGCCAGAACTGCTAATGCTTATTGCACCTTTGTCATCATGAAGCTATGCTGAAGATTCAATAAGAAAAAGTCAGGGGAGATGTAAGAAATGCTTGAGAAAACTAGAATGTTCGAAAGAACTCTGGATACTCTTCCAACAAGGAATATTCCACACATACCAGAAAGAACTTTATCAGTAAAGTAACTTATCAGAATCTAATACATAACAAAGATTAAAGAGCAATATACTGACATAGGCTGCTCTTTTGAGTTCAAGCAGTATCAAAATCTAAGCACTTCTACAATGAAACAAGAGTATGTTGACACTCATTTTGACAGCCTCTCTCTCTCTCTCTCTCTCTGTCTCGGGATAACATCAAACAATCCACCTCTAACTCAAATCACTTATAAATAGTGATTAATACTAAGTCCAGTAGCACTTCCCTTAAAAAGCAGTGCAAAAATCAAATCCGTCAACAAACACTATCAGAAGAAAAAGTCAGCAAACTAGACACGTGTCCATCTCTTGCATTTGCATCAATATAATCCATTGTGGTGATATTAGTGAGAACTTCTAAAGAAGTTAAAAAATACAAATCTTGGTGGTGGCCTATTTGAAATGAGCTCAGACTTTTAGTCGTGTATCTACTGGGTCCATTTTCACACCAGAGGAAACACTATGTGCTAACCTTACAGGTGGCAAGAGACATTAAGAGACCAGATTTTGTCCCCTCTCTGCAGACTTCTGCTGGTGGAGAAGTCAAAGAGCCAGGGAAGCAAGCATATCGAAAAGCAACAATAGCAAAGAAGGTGTGCCTGAGATGTTGAGAAGCATGAAACCTTAATAAGTAACAGGTACATATATATACAGACATATGTTTTTTTAAACTGCAATTCTTACACACACACAGTTCTTAAAACTTAAACTGGGATTGTCAGATTCAATAGGAGAGGTAATCTCTTTTCACTTGCATATACTATTCTTAACATTTTTCTCAAGGCTTAGCTCCACTCCCTGCACCCATTAAAACAAATGACAAAGTTGAGGTTTTTAAATAAGCAGAGTTTTATTTGCAATCGGATTAATCAGGAGCAGAAAAACTGAACTTGGCTTTTGGGATCAATTTTTGAGTCATTTTCCTACTTCTTTTTTTTTTTTTTTTTCTGCCAGAATTTCATCTCTAAAAATGTATTGTTGGAAAAAAATGTGAGGACTTTTCAGAAGAATGAAATATCCCAGAGAAGCTGTATAACTTCATCACTAAAAAAGACAGTAATCAAGTCTCTCGATGAACATGTAAAGATTTTGTTGCTTTGAGAGACAGTGTAATCTCCATTCAAGACTTGGTCCCGTTAAGTGCTAGCAAACCTGGTCTGCTGTAATGTGATCAGATGTTGGTGACAGCCCTCTTTTGAGTGGGAGGTTATAAAGGACAGCAAGCTGTTCCTTTCTGAAAAGCAGGGATAAGAACTTATAATGCTATAGAGGGGCACGGACATTTCCTTTAATACTTTAAAGCAGACACAAGATGTTGTATCCTGCTGATAAGGCCTCAACCATCCAGTCCTATAAGCCCTCAGAGAGAATAAACATCCCTCTGGGCCCACATCTAATCCCCTGTTAGGGTAATTGATTAGGTAACCACATCCTCCTTTATTTTCTCTGCTTCCTATTTGGAGCTGTGAGATACAAGTGTCTCTTGAGGACGCACACAGTAAGTCTGAAGATGCTATGCCTACCCAAGACCCCTTGGTTCAATTGCTTGGGCATCGCTTAAGGTCTTGGTTCTTATCACCCTTCAGTTCCTCTTGATAGGATTCCTCTTCCTCTGAATTCTGCAGGGACTCCTGTCTTTCTCTACCCCCACTCCTATCTTTTCCTCCCATTCCTTGTGACGGTAAGAGCTAGTGCAGAGTGATCAGCAGTAGGAAACTGGCTCTTTCTTGATGCAGTCAGAAATGATCCTTCTTTGTTTCCCACCTCTACAGTCCTTCTCTGACCTTCTGTGTCACAGTTCCTCAGTCTGTACAACTGGAGCTGCATTGGCCTCACTGTGCTCTCGTGCTCTGGTGCTTTCCCATCTGCAGAGATGCTCTCACCAGTCATGCTTTGTGCAGTATTTGAACCTTGCTCAGCTACCAGTATGTTCAGAAGGTCTCCTGCTGGCTGCCATGTGCACTTGGGTTGGCCTGCTTACTTCCTTGAGTGCTAAAAAAGCTGCTCTTATCAGAGAAGGGTTCACCTGCAATTCCTTTGTGGAGTGACCTCAGAGATGTCTCAGTTGTTGTTGCTTCTCCGTTACTGTATATGCACACTCCATAAAACATTCTCCAATAAAATTATAAAAAAGTAGCTTCTCTGAAAAAAATACTAAGTTCTATTTGCAGTTATGGGACTGCCTTCATTTCCTCTAAATGCCAAACCCCAAGTTTTACAAGAATAAGTCTTAGGAGACTTGATGACTTTGGTGGAATCAATTGTTTTATATGAGAAAACACTTCAACTCAGTAAGTCCACATTTTTATATTGGCTAACAATACTGAGACATTTCACAGTGTGAGACAAAGTTTCACAGGCAGAATCTATTTCCTTCTTAAGACCAGTAGACAGTGGATGGCCACAGGATACTTCAGCACAGATAGAATAAATCTGAATTTGAAAATCCCTTATTGTTTTGCTAGTAGATGAACACACTTTCCCTTAGCCTTCAGGTTCTGAATTCTGCAGAGGAATATCGCACATCATTTAACAGCAGTATTGCAGAGTCTTTGGAGCATCCTATGCACAGAAACAAGGAAGTGTTTTTCTCGTGCAGTTTCATCCTTGCTTGGGAAAACGGTGACCCATGTTCAAAGCAACTGCCTGGGGTGCAAATAATCTGACTTTTGTCCATGGCGCTATTTCAGCTTTTCTACAACCGGTTTAAGCAAGTTAATGTTTCAATTTCTGTGTCTAGGAAGTCAGATTCAGAACACTTCCTAAGGACAGTAAAACTGAGATTTTAATTCATTATGGAGCATAAGGAAATCAGATAATAGAATAGAGGCCATGGCACAAAGTCTATATTAATCTTGCCAGCCATTGGCTGATATCCAATAATCTGACCACTTCCAGATGAGGTGCCCTGCCCACATGCTCATTACTTCCTATGGCCTTTCCAATACTTTTGGTAGGCCTGAAAAAACACTCATTCTCCATGCACAGATCCCACTGAAGTACGTAGATTTCAGGTCCCTGTTCTGGTTCTGTCCTGGCCATCTGCCTGCAGCTGCTGGAAGCTGCCCCATCCATATGCTCGCTCCTTATGGTCCATTTGACAGGCTTTCAGGTGCTGCCCTCCAATGCCTACAAATATTGCCAGGAGTTTAGTAGAGATGTCCTATCTACCCACGTGTTGATAGCTTTGCCATATTCTGGCTGCCTGAAGTTGCCCTGTACACCTGCTCTAAATGTATTCTCCAAATGGATTCTGCTGCTCCAATCCATGCTGCAATTTTTTTTTATGCTTCCAGGAGAAATATGTTAAAATAATCATCATAAAAGAGATACTTGCTCCCTACCCAGCTCTGAAATCCTAATGGTGGAAAAATCCAGCTTATTTGCTCTAAAAGCAATATTGCACTGAAACAAAACGCGTGTTTGGATGTTTCTCACTATCAGAATTGGTGGAAAATATCCATGTTTTTTAGGTTGAAATTATTCCACTGAGAATCTTACGGTGCCAAACAAGAAAACTGGGGAGTAAAATTGGGAAAATATATAAAACTAAATAAAATAAACTTCACCTCTTTAGTACAGTGAGGATAAACATATGCAACATTCAGTATTTGTAACTTTTTCTTAAATTGCCTTGCTTTATAGCATGCTACCAGCCATAACACTCAATAAAAACAAGCAGTGCAAGTGACAAATGCATTAATCATCAATAGCGTGTAGCAGGAAATCAAATCAAATAAAAATGAATTACGGCGACAATTTACCCTCAACATGCATTCTAGCTCCCCATGTTAATGCAACATTGTGGTGCAAATAGAAATCTGTATGAGGGGTGGTTTTTTGAGGACTGAAGGAGAGGTACATGATGCAAGTGGCAGAATGATGTGCACACACAAAAAAACATTGCTCTGTACACCAATAAATTATCTGACAGCAAACCAACCATGCAAACACTAGTTATACTTTCCTTTTTGCTAATTGTCTGTGGTTTCTTTTAAGTCCTTTACGACTTGTGCTACAATTTTGAGAGCTTTTCTTGGTGTTAAAAATAATCAACACACTCCCCCTGCCTTCAATTCAAGACCTTTTCTGTTTGTCCCATTCAGCCTGTGCTCTCCTGGAAGGTTATTATAGTCTTGGCATTCATCTGTTGCATTTCTTTCAGAGAATCCACATAAGCAAAATCCCTTGGCAGGAATACTGTTTGTCTAGTATTCAGTAACTTCTAATATATAAGGAACATGATGGTAAAATTAAGACCCTCTGTATTCTGTATTTTCTAATTATTCTATTCTAATAGCAACAGACTATGATAGTATAAATCATAGCAACAATTAGCAGTGTATTCAGAATAAACGACATCTAAATCAACGCAAAAAAAGAAGAAAATTTAGTAAGACAGGATGAAACAAAGTAAGACCCTTTCCTTTGGCAGCTCATGGATTATATTCTTGCACTCAAGCATCAGAAATCATCACTATCACAAGAGAAACTGTGATAAACCCACCACTTTTTCCTCTGCTCTCCTTTTCACTTACCTTCTGAGGGCTGAGGGGTGCCACAAGGGGTGGAAGGGGTCTTCAGCTCTTCCTGGGACTCTATGGATGCTGGGCTGATGCACTTGGGTACAGGTGAGGATGGAGCTGAAGGAGATCTCAGATTCAAGGACAGTTCACTTCTGCCTCGGCTTACACTCCGACTCTTCAGCTCCTTCTCATATTCCTCTGCTGCCAACTTCTCCAAGTATTTGTATCTGAAAGTTAAATTCCAAAGGGTTTCCGTAAAGAAAAAGAAATCTGTGGCTGATGCTTGTTTATGGATGAAACACCTGCAGAGAATGAGCTGACTTCCTGACACAAGGGGTACAGCACTAAACTGCCTGCCTGCTCAATCTGCCAAAAAGTGCACACCAAAGCAAAGACTACTGCCCTGAAAAACATTAAATTTCTCATTACAATATAAAAGCAAAAACCAGCAGAGTCAAAGAACCTTTAGATAAAGTATTTTGTCTGCACAGTCCTTCCCCTTTTGGAAGCATTTGTCTGTCCTGCTTTTCACTCTCCTCCTCCTCCTCCTCCTCCTCCTCCTCCTCCTTCTCCTCCCAGCCCTCCCTCTTCCAAAACTAAAACGGGAGGGAAAAAACACAAAAGAAGAAAAAAACCCCTGCAAACCAAAAGCCCCTTAATACTGATGCAAATTGCCAGTCTGAGACTTGCTGTAAGGAGAGGAAAATGCAGCAGACAAAAACAGATCTACCTGAAAATAATACCAATAATAAACGTTTGGATTGACTATCTAAGGACTCTGAACCTGCTTCTATTTGCTCTGAGAGCAATGCACTGGAATTCACTTTGTTCTCTCCAGAGCCTACAATGGAAAGTTTTCTTTTTTTTATTCTAAAAAATTTCTCTGCCGGACTCAGACATCCAATAGCTTGTACCTGACGTCACATGTAGTTTATTCATCAAAGTCACTTTAAAAGAACAAAGATACATCTGTTTTGCATTTTAGGCAGGCAGAACTCACTAACTGTTTATTAAGACCAGCTACCAATCATATTCTTCATAGTGTGCTTTATACATTTCGACCAAAATAACTTTGAAATATGTGCCTCTTCCAGATGTCTGCTAATTTTATCCACCATTATTTGCTAAGGAATAAATTTATGAATACAGCTGGATCGGGCTTTAGACTGTTTTAGAACTGTTAAACAGGTTAATTAAGGCTACTGCTTATGTCCCTGAAACACTGTGGTCATCCTCCTATAACCCATTGTTGTAAACACTTCATAACAGGGAACACCTCTCCTCCCCCCTTCTGCCTCAGTGACAGCCTGAGTTAGTGTATGAGGGTGCACTGAAAAGCATGCAGGGTAAAAAAGTCAGCCATATGTGGTAACAAACATGCTTCATACATATGGTAGCCACACATGCATGCACATTTGCAAACATCCATATAGAGCATAGAAACATGTCTTTGAAGAGCAGTCCTTGTGTTTTCAGAGGCAATTTGCTTTACTGCAAACAGCAATAATGAAGAACAAACTCATTTTCTTTTATTCCTCCAGAGGTATGCACAGGCTTTGAACAAATTCTGCAAGAAAAAGAACCCCTACAGACTCTGGATGAAAATATAACAAGCTACATACTTGTATGGTTATAAAATAGGAACTGTTTACAGTTCTAGCATGAAGCCAATTTTCGAGACTGAATTTTGCCTTTTCAATAGAGGAGAAAGCCTTTCACATCAGTGTGATGTGTTGTTACAGTTCATGAAGCCACTACTCCTTTTAACATTGGTCATGTACACCTTCTGCCTCCTCACAAGTAGAGATGGGGCTTCAGACTCATAAAGAGCCATTCCAACTGATCACTTAAACCAAACGGGTACAGCCCAGCTGGCTGCTGCCGAGGTGGGGTTTGCAGTTTGCCAACAGACTACAACAAAGATCTGGATGGATTCTTCTATAACAGGAGGAGCCCTTTTGCAGCTGCTTTAACATTTTAGGTTCTGTAGCTGTGTGCTGCACAGTCAACCAGCAAGGCAGAGGACTATCATCAAGAAGTGACTTCTTAAAATATATCTGATTATTACACTGAAAGAAAAAAGGGAAACAGAACAGCAACTCCAATGGCGGTACGTCAGCATAACTAGTTATCAAATGGGAAGCCTAATAATCAGATATAGCAATTTACCTGAGAAATAAAAAAATAATTCAAGAATCAGTATTAACACTTCACACTTGATAAATTCCATTATTTAGGTTATTTTTTGTTTCTGGACAGCATCAAATATGCGAGGTCTAGTGCTGAAGGAGTTGAAAGGATGAGCCACCATACCTCTGCTTTAGGATTGACACACTCTCTCTGTATATGCTGCCATATTCCTCTAAATCATGGAAACCTGCAGACATCATCCACCTGTGCTGACTTTTCTCTATAGACAATAATCCAAAAGTCTGTGGGCTATCCATGTGGTATTCCTAATGAATGTGACACTGTACTTATCATCTTCAAGTAAATGGAATTATCATTGTGAGTTCTCTAGTCTCTGAGTAATACCCTGAGGGCAACTTAAACTGTTTATGTATCAACAAAGAAATGGGGTGGAGAGCACTTGAGCTGTACATCACTCTAGAGAGGACTTTGGAGCTCACCTTTTCTGGTTTTATTTTTTAATTACCACTAGAAGACACCAAGCCAAGTAAAAAAAAAGGCCTCAAAGCATAGAATAGCAAGAAGTGATATGGAGGAAACATACAAACCAGTTTTTAGCTAGGATTTTAGGCACCTTAACTATACGATTTTCTTACAAGTCAACATGCAGCTTCCTATAGGAAATGAAACTTCATTTGTACAAAGGTATTTATTAAAAAAGTAGTTACAGAATGTCAATGTAATGGACTACTGGTGCTAGACTTCACTTGCAGGTTTCTTTGATATTTATGTGCTGTCAAAGCAAATGTATGTCTTTCCTCTTTATGAGTAAGAGCTAATAGTTTAAAAGAGTCCTAGTTCAAAAGAGCCATAAGGATAAAGAAAGATTCCTAACGACTAGTGAAATTGTCTCAGATTGCCCAGTAGTGATGCACTGCTGGTGAACACTTTCCCAAAAATACTCCACTTGGCACGTTCCCTGACAACTTGAAAGTTCTGGAGAACTTGCTTCTAATTTGATTCAAATCTTGCAACGAGCATGCTTGCTGAAGAAGATTTTACTCAACTCAGATCAGTGTTTGATGTTTGTGCGCTCAAACGCATTTCATTTCAGAAAATGCTGCAAACTATTTGTAACTGTTTTGACTGGAAGGACAAAGGAAAGGCCGTCCACCTTTTCTTACTGTTAGAGGTGTCAAAGTAATTTTTTGCTATTAGCTACATCAGCCACAATAGATAAGACTTCGGTCTGCAGAAAAGAACTATATCCCACCAGATGATTTTGTGAAAAAAACCAAACACAAAAGCAACCAATACAAAAACCTCCAAAATATAGCAACACAATGATTTCTGAGATGGTTGCTCTTGTATTTTGATAATGTTATTCCAGTTCTTGACAATCCAGAAGTATCTCCAGAAAGTAATCTCTAGAGGACCATACAAGCAAAACTGAAGTACTCTGGATAGTTTTTCATCTACTATTTGTACAGCAACTTGCATATTTTCCAGGTAAAAAACAGGTGCTCCCCCTGGAATGTAATTACTAGCAGAGGTAGAGATGAAACTACTGAAAGGCAAAGATCTTTAGCTGAGTATTCCTTGAAAAATGTGCTTTCCTAAGCACAAAGCTCCAAGCCTAGATCAGAGTTTCTAATCTATTTAATTGAATTTAAAAAAAAAAAAAAAAAACCAAACAGAAAAAAACCTCCAAACCCTCAGTTCCTTTAAATATGCTATTTAAATAAAACTAAAGCAATGTCCTAATGATAAACACTACTAAGCTTTGTAATTTACTCAGTGATGTTTAGAGATCAGCAAGAAAACTTGGATCTGAAAGATAACAATATGCTTGGAGTGGGTCAGAACCATTTTCATCGGTCACTGCAGTTTTGCAATGCTTGTGACCCCAATTTCCTTTATCCTCAGTTGCCTTTTCTGACCCTCCAGAAAGCTTGGGACCCATTGGGTGAGAAAGACAGGCTTACTCAATTTATAACTATACTAAATTTGAGCAAATTTCTGAGGCAAATGGGGTAAGCTTATTTCCCACACAAATAGATTAAAGATAATAATTCTTATGCATTCCATTCGCGCTGCTCTTCATTTATTGCTGTGCTTACAGCTGGACTTAATTATCCTCTTTAACTTAACAGCTTCTTTGTTATAGAAGTCTTTTGCAATAAAAGTGTTCTGTGCAAGTAGAATTAAAAATGTAAATACATGAGAGATCCACAGTAAAGAATATAGGAAGTGCAAACAACCAAAGGGAAGGATGGATGCATTATATACAAACCTCTCTTCTCTTGCTTGTCTTAGTTCTTCTCTTTTGTCTAAATAATCACGACTAGAAAGAGAATTACAGTAAATTGCAGTAGAAACAGAAGAAAAGGTAAGTAGCAGAAGTATAAGTACAGCAGGAGAAAGCAAGAGAGTATAAACAAGCTGGTCAGATGCAACAAAGGCTGTTGTTGACAAAAAACGTTTGGTTTTGCAAAAATGGCTGAAAAATGTGTGTGTACACTTATACATGAATACACCTCAGATATGCAACACCAAATACGTAATTCGGAAGGTCTTTAAAAGTAACTATAAAAACCCCCAAGAACTGAAAAACCTGAAGCACGCTTCGAAATCTGGTGTCTGAAATTAGACACGATGAACTGCAATTATCCATAATGAGCAGGCACATTAGTGCCAATTAAATCATTCCACATTTGGTCCCTCTTAGAATGCCCCAAAGAGTGACTGCAGCGCCTGGCAGGCTAGACCAAGGCAGGGAGGATACCGTACATCAGCCTTCTTTCGCAGGCACCTTTCCTCAGTGTGTTTTAGTTGCTACAGTTGGAAACAGAAGAGCAAACTGGCTTTACAGGGTAGGACAATTCTTCATTCTTAGAAAGTGTGTGCAGGATTATTGGACAGATAAGAACTTTTCACTTCTTCATTTTTTCACCCTGAGTTTTAGATACAAAACTTTTATGTCAGCTGCTGCTCCCACAGCAACTCAAGTAACCCATATATTTAGCTTTTGCCAAGACAACTTTGCCTGATGCTTGAGCACTGTGATTTCAGGCAGGCCTGCCACATCCACAAATGTGAATGCAAATTTAACTTGGACAGCAGAACCTATTAAATGCCCAGCCTGCCTTGATACCACAGCAACATAATTCCTTACAATATATTTTTAATATTTTATTGAATTTGTTACACAAAACTGTTGAGACAGTTCACCTTATCTGTTAGATTCTTTCACAGTAACCTGTGAGTACCAGAAAGATTTTCAGAACTACTCCTTTTATAAATAAGCACTATTTTTTCTCTCTATATTGTGTCATCAAGTGAATTACTTATCATTTACTATACCAAAAGCTATCAAACATCTGCTTGTAAGTGGTCTTCAAAAGTCCATTAACAGGGAACAGAGATCACTGTTTCAGGCTGTCTCCACATGCTTTGAATCCTGAGCTGGTTATACTTTTATGATATTTTCAGAGTACTTTAGGAAATCTTCAGCAGGCAAATTTTAACGTTACCCTTTGCCCTCTGAAAACTTTCACCCTTTCCTACAGCTGAAGAACAGTCATTGAATTTTAGGACTTATTGTTCTATATATGCAATGGGTACAATAATCCTTCTACTGGGAAAAAAGTTTGTTCTGGAAAGCATTCCTTTAGTTAGCAATAGCTTATGAAGCTCTTTAGCATCTCTCCTAATCCTCCAGCTCTTTCACAACTGGTGATGCTCTCCTTTAAATTATCCTCAATTTGTCAATGATGATGCCAGAACCTAGTGCAATGTTCTCAAGGTAGAGCTGGAAAGAATGAGATAACAAATGAGTCATGATGGTAAATCCAGTACTGCTCACGAGTTTAAAGACTGTGAATTGCAAGTGCTATTTTTAATCAAAAATACATCTTCAGAGTCTGGGTTTCTGGCCAGACTGATGATATGATAATGCAATCCCAAGAACTCTTATGAAACTGTCCGTGACTGCTTGCTGTGGCTTTATCCTCCTTCTGCCAGACTGTTTAATCAACTGTGGGATGCTGTCTGTCTGCAAAGTTTGGTGGCTTTGGAGACCCTCTGATCACAGAACTCAAATCTGGAAGATGAAAACACTGGGCATTTAAAAATCCCCTTAAATATGTTGTTTAGTTAACTGGTTTCTGACTCTGAAATAATTGGATAAAAATGTATATTTTGATTTTTTTTCCCCCCTGACTTTAGGGATGCTCTTTTAGTGACAGAACAACTACTGTAGCCAACCTCTACTGAAATGTGCAGATCTGTTATTCAAACAGGTCAATCTGCCAAATGCTCTGTTGGCTTTTTCGGTTTGGGAGCTTTTTTGAAAGATCATGTTGACTGTCCATGGCACTCTGATGCAGCCTGATGATACCACTTAGAGGGAGAGTTTTTGGAAGAGGCTTAAAGATTGAAACCTTATTGTTTCTGTTTCAGGAGAACTTGGGCAGCTGTTGGCTGCCAAAGATCCTATTATGGTGCTCTTCCACCTTCCCTCTGCCTCTCATTTCCTTCTAAACTAGCTATCTTCTGGAGCCAGAAGAATATCAATCAACCAACCAGCCACTCATAAGTTACTCCTCTTTCCAAATTCACAGAATCACAGCCTTTTCCCATTTTTTACTAAAGAGATGATTACAGTGAAAACAATCTTGCATACTAATAAACAAGTTCGCATGAAACCCAGTGCCATCTTTTCCATGACTACCAATTCTAAGGCTACAAAACGTTTATGTTACCATTCTTTATGTTATTACACTATGTCTTCTAACTACTAAAAATATGCTTACTTTTTAGTGCTGTCTCTGAGGAAAAAACCTGGTTTCTTAGTGTACACTCTTCAGACTGCAGGCAAACCGTTTCAGGTATAGACTCCATATCTATCCTTAGCCCACTGCAGTCTTTGCAAACGTCTGCGAGGAGATTTCCAGGCATGGATTTGAGAGGATGACGGGCCTTGTCTCTTACTATCCTCAGGCAGCATACCCTGGGATCCCACATCATAAAAAACATTTTCTCAGATGTGAGTCCTATACTCAGCTGTGGCCTTTGTCAGCCATGGTTAGGACAATAATTTTGATAATTGCTTTCTGTCAGTTGCTGTTTCCAGGAGGAATAGACACATGTTCAGAAAAGTAGGAAGAACTAACTAAAAAATGCTACCACAGAGCCTCAGAGAGCAAAGCCTTTTTACTTTGCATAACACAAAAGCAAAAAGTTGTTTCAGTGCTGTCCCTTCTGCCCTTGATACCTTTGTCCCACTGTTTCACCTTCACTGAGATTACAATTTGGAGAGTATATTACCTAATAAAAACAAGCCTCTGTAGATATCCAGACAGTATAACTGAGAAATACGTAGCTGCCTTAAAAAAAAAAAAAATCCTTATTTATTAAATTCCAAAATTCACGATGTGTGTAATCTGTCAATTCTTAAGATATTTAGATCAAGAAAGGTATCTACAAGAGACAAACTATTCATCACATCAATTATTTTGCAATGGAATTTCTCAATGATTTACCAATCTATCACACATTTAAAGCAAGAGACTGAGAGCAAATTTGGGTCCTACTTGAATTTGTTTCTTTCTTCACGTTCTATCCTTTGCAACCTTTCTTCTCTCTCCTGACGCCGTCTTTCTCTTTCAGCTGCCAAGGACTCCTGGTGCTGCCGAAAAGATGATGTAAGGAGACCACCCAAAGCCGGCCTGCAGAAAAGGAAGATCAGATTTCTCAGTGTCATTTTTATTGATTATACTGGCAAAAAATGAGCAGCAATCATTCAGCAAGTAACATAATTCCAACCAGCAGAATGACATAGCAATATTTATGTATGGATCTTTCAAAGCACTGGCTAAGTGTCTTCTTGCTAAATTGATTATAGACACTGTGATGAGCTTAAGAAAACACTTAGGGTAGGCTTGTTAAATTGCCAAATTTCTAAAGCACAATAAACGTGTAAAAGTTCTTCAGTCTAGTTCAACTGCAATATTGTCTAAATATTTTTTTAACTTTATAAACCTTTTAACACAAAAGCCGAATCCTGTAAAGGATCTTTGAAATTTTAAGGAAAAAAAAATGCAATATTTTTTAAACACAAACATATTATGCAATGATGTTAAAAACAGATATGTCACAAACACCTGAGAACACCACATACAGAAAAACAAAAGTAAAGGAAATAAATATCATAAACGCCCTTCATAATTCAAACGCCCTCCTTAGTAGGGGTATATTTTTCCTTTATACATTAACAAATTTGATTATGATTATTTCCTCGCTGCATGTGCTGTAAGGGCAGAACAAATCACATGTAAGGACATATCAGTAAAATACATAGAGAGAGTCTTCTCAAATCTTTATTAAAAACTTTCAGAAATGATGGTCTCTACAGTAAAGACTTTTCAAATATATAAAGCTACATTTATATCCACTTATAGTTTGCTGTTGATGCAGATTTTTCTATTAGTTTTACTGCAAGTACTACTTTGGCTGGGACTGTGGGTTCTCTCACACAACTTTCATCCAACAGAGTAAACATGTCTTTCTTTCTGTCTGTTAGATAGGGAAAAAAATCTGTATTGTACAAGGTAGCTTTATACAGATCCACACTGATTGAATTAGACTGATAAAATCAAAAAGACATATCTCGTGTAGAGTGGTTTCTGTGCATTGTTTTAACATGAGTTTTGCAATGAAAGGATTAATGAGAGAAATAGATACTGCCTTTTCCAAAAAGAAATTAAAAGAAACTAAACCCTGCCTTAAAGGAAGGTTCTTTAACCAGTAATACAAACCTGAATAAATTTTCTGTACTTTTAAGGACTCAGACCCTTTCCCTTACTATTTACTTGCCTATGGCTGAACAACGTAGGCATTTAGTGTGATGGCACCAGTTCACTAGTGAAAATAGGTGCAGAAGACAAAAGCATTAATGCAAACCTATCTTCCCTGAGTGTCTATGTCTGTACAAGCAGAAACACCACAAAACATAGGCATTTCAGCCCCACTGGCAGCAGGGCAGTATGAATATGTCAATAATTTCAATAAATTGAATTTCAATATGTCATATCCCACCCGCATAAACATTACATAAGATGGTATAAAACTTGATATTCTGTAAGACTCCCTGCTGGCACTCCTCCAGAGCTACAGTATCAATGCTGGATCATGCTCAAAACCATAAAAATCTCTAATATGCTTCAGCACTAAGAAAAGGGGGAAAAAAATCCTCAAACACTGACAGTCAAGTACGTGTGGTGAATTTTCCCCTGAGCATATTTTAAATTTATTTTAACTTTTGACCTTTTAGTGCATGTTGCAAGAAAAAGCTCTCAGCAGAAACAGTAGCACCACTGTACTAAAATCCAAAAGCTAGAGCTCCATCCCTGTCACAGCATGAAATACCATGGCTATAAGGTTGGACATAACATCAGAAATTGCTCTTGGAAGGGAAAACTGAACAAAGCCTCCATATGAAGACACAGGGAAATAAATTAGGAGAGATGGCAAAAGAGGGTCCCTATCAAGTCTGTGCTTTTATCTGTTTTGAATATTCGGCTCGATATCCCATTCTGTCCCACCGAGCTACCATGCAGTCTGCAAACTCAATTTGGAGTCAAAGGAAGGTATGGATTAAAAAAACTGAAGCAAAATTATTGGGAAGGACGGGGTGATGCTGAGAGACCAAAAGAGTGATTGTAGGTCTGCACAGCACCTAGCAGGTTGGAAACCTTTGGCTCTGACAAAGCGCTTTGAGGCTCCACAATGAATACACATTCTTATTCAAGGGATTACAGGGAAATCACATGGAGATGCATAGTTTAGCACTGCAGATGGGATTCTAACCTAACCCTGGTAGCAAAATGCCTCCTCATGCCAAAACACCTTGTTTGGAGGTTTGGTCCAGCATAGTTTGGCTAGCGTTGCTCACTTGGCTAAAATTTCCAGATGTATGAACAGCAGCTTTACCATCTAAATAGAAGATCCACATATGATCCATATGTACAGAAGAAAAGCTAATGTTTAAGAAACTGAAAATGTTAGCTTGCCACCTCTCTGAAACTAATCAAACTGACAATTAGCCCAAACTTGGTATTTCTGCTTGTTATGAGTCTATACTTCATCTGAATTACAAGCTACAGTAAAGCGTGGACACACATGCCTGATTCAATTCCTTTGTCCCAAACACAGTCACATTGTGTACAACAGTTTATTGCATAAGATGGTAAAAACTAACAGTCAGAGCTACAAGAAGGTTCTGTTCATACAGGTCATAACTAAACAGACAGGAACATGTTCAGCTGACTCCCTGCGTGGCACTGACTTCTTAAAACACAAATAGTCAGGTTTTGGGTCTTCAGTCTCATTTTGAAAGGGCAAGAAAAGAAATAGCACTGATACTGCTGAGTTAGTGCTCCCTTAGTGGTTAGACCTTGCAGTGGCTGGCCCACTCAACTGGACACCAAATGCTGAGACCATTTGCCTTATGAAACCTCATCAACTCATAGCTTCACTGTTGCTATCAAACACTATAACTCAGCTGTTGTTTGAGTGCATCAATACTCTTTTTAATATGAACTGCAACCATAATGAACAGATTTTAGTACTTAGTAAACTCTATCATTAATTTTCTACATGTGCATAAACTAAATCTGGAGGAAACAGGTGTTACTTTCAGGGTGTACAAACCCTTAAAACATCCAGAGGAAAAGCAAGGATTAAGAGGTATTCCTCCAACATTCTAAAAAATTTGAGAAGGGATTTGTCTATGCATGGTTTGTCTACAAAATCTGATTTTTGCTTCTGTCTTCCCCTGTCAATAACACTTAAAGTAAACGTTCCCTTTCAATGAACTCATACTTGAATTGCAAATGGCATCAGTAATGGCCAAACCAGCTGGTGGGAAGGCTTGGGCTGAGCCTTTGGGTAATTTTGTTGCTTTGATGCTGTTTGAAGTGTGGCAGTATCTTCAGGTCTCAGGAATTTTTAAGTCTTATTGCTGTAGGCTTCATTTTGAAAATGAGTAAGCAAGGAAGAGGCTAAAAGAATTTTGGCATTGAATCAAAGGTGATAAGAGATTTTAACAGAAAAGGGTATGTGAATACTCAATGAAAGCATAATAGAGTGATCACTCACAAAACAGGACTATAGGTAATATTTGCCAGCATTTTAATGCTTGTGTCATATGTTACCAGCTGGTAATATCAACCATTTGTTCAATTCCACAAATACAATCCAGAAGGATGCTTGCTCTGACTACTATTTTTAGTCTTGTAGAAAATGCAAGGCTATTAAGAAAGGACTGTTAATATAAAAAATGCTAAGAAAAGCTTTCTTATGCCTGCTGTTAAAACCAGTAAAAGCTAAACAAGCTAAATTATTACATTCTCATTCCAAAAAGAAAACACATAACAAGAATATGTCTAGGTCTGGGGATTTGTGAACAGAGCTCCACACCACAGCATCACGATCTGGGGCCAAAGAGGTCATTAGTTACTTATCTTGCTGAAAGAATAGACAGGAAAGAGAAATAATAGAAAAAAAAAAGAAAAAAAGGCAAAAAAATATACACAAGGCAGAGGATACGAAGCCAAAGGATTCACTACAGGCCCAAACTCTTCTGAATAAAAATTCAGTTAGCCTGACCTACCGCATTTAACACAGCAGTGAATTAGTAATCATTATTATAAACACAAATTCAGGCAGACACAAGATATCACACACTTTTTTGCAAGTATTTGCAGTTTCCTGACAATGCTCTATCACAGACTATATATTTTGAAGGGGAATAAGTGACCTGAATTACTCTAATCTCATTGCAAGCTGAAGAAAATATTTCTGTCTTATTCTAAGCTGCTTTATTGCAGCAAAATTGCAGTTCTGAACTTCAAATGTTCTTCATTCACATAAGCTCTGAAACACTCTTTTGCGGCTGCATTTCCCTCTGCTTAGTTGAATTTTTAAAATTTGCTAAAGAGAAATGGGCAAGAATACAAAAAAAAAAAGTGTATTTTTAGGAGCTAAAAAAAATTAACAGTTGACTTATGAGAGGAAATCCCTTCAGGCCACAAGTTAGTATTCAGGGTTGTCTTCAGTATAACATGGTTCAAAGTCATTAATAAACTTATTAAGGAAGCACTAATTACCCAGTTTTACAAAGTGCTGCTGTTCCACCAGTCAGGCAATTGCTACAGACAGAGAAAAACAGTCGACAGCTCCTACTCAGGCCTTAAGTAACTCTGAATGTCTCTTGACTTTAACAAAATAAATTCACTTTCCAGCTTAGAAAGAGACAAAAGGGGAGGCAAAGCTGCCAAGAGCCATATTGCTTTTCGCTGTTAAAGAAACTCTCAGTGTGTTATGTCTGCCTACATGACACGGCAAATTCAAAAGCATGTTGATATAAGATTCTGCAAACAGACTAAACATTACTTGAGGAATCTTTACAAAACTTCTCTCAAAAATAAACAGAAAATTGTGAGATAAAACTACTGACTAATGCTTCCTTTGAGAAAGAAACTTGAGAGTGACCATGAGAACTGATTACTGTTTGACTTTTAAGTGGCGTTGGGGACTACCCAAAAAAAAGCTACAGCAGAGCAGAGCTGCGCAGAGCTCACAGCCTGACCTCTACAGGTTTTACACTGTGCTTCCGTCTTTCGCCAACCTGCAGCTTCTCATCCTCATGAGAGTTACAAATTGCCTG